TCATTTGTCTGGGAACCTGAAATGACTCTTGATTTAAATCATATGGTAAAAAGCACCTAAAGAAGAAGAAAGAACAGCATCAGCAAAACAAAACAAAACCCCAACCCTCACCTGTTTTGGGAAATGGTTCAAGAAGGAACACACAAACACACACACACATAAGAGAGAGTGAAAAGGAAGTAGGGAGAAAGAGAGAGAGAGAAAGAGAAAGATGAGAGAGAGAAAGGGAAAAAGAGAGATGAGAGAGAGAGAGAGAAAGGGAAAAAAGAGAGAGAGGTGAGAAAGAGAGAGGAAGAAAGAGAGAAATGAGAGACAGAGAAAGAGAGAGAGATGGGGGGAGAAAGAGAGAGAGAGATGAGAGAAAGACAAAGAGAGGGAGAAAGAGAGAAAAAGAGATGAGAGAGAGAGGAAGAGAGAAAAAGAGAGGGGGAAGAAAGAGCGAGAGATGAGAGAAAGAGAGAGAGAGATGGGAGAGAGGAAGAAAGAGAGTGAGAGAGAGTGAGAAAGAGAAAGACAGAGAGAAAGAGAGAGAGGAAAGAGAGAAAGAGAAATGAGAGAGACACACAGAGAGAGATAGTGAGAGACACACACAGAGAGATACCTGTTTCCCAGAGAAAAGAAAATACCAGGAGCCACAAAACCTGGGTAGGTGTAGCTGCGGGGGTGTCATGTGACTGGGTGGGAGTGAGTGACATTGAGTTGGCTATGCTTTGTGGCTCCCACTGTTTTCTTTTCTGTGGGAAATAGTCCTAATGGCTCTTTGAGTGTTTAAGGTTGCAGACCCCTGGCCTAGGACTAAGTCATGCCTAAAACTCCTTAGCTGACAGGTTTCCTGACCTGCCTTTCTTTCTGGACGATGGAATGGGTAGATATACTGTAATGGAGGACAGAGTTCCCTCAAATGATCTGTTCCCAATTCCTGAAGGGCTTTAAAGGTCATAGCTAGGACATTTGAATCCGGATCCAGAATCACATTAAAGCTATTACGATCCTCCATCCAGAAGGGCATCAATGCTTGAGAGTAGCATTGATGTAAAATCCCTTGTAAAAGGGATTTTTTTAAATAGCATTCCTCAAATTGGCATCCTCCAGATATGTTAAGATAGAAACTAACTATGCAGCACAAAAAGTTCCAATCCATCTGGAAGTATCATTTTGGAAAACGTAACATTAAGGATTAAATATCTCTGTATGGATCTTCAATTCGGTTCTTAACCTACTTCGGCCAAGCATGAGTTTCTGGGTTCCCCTTTTTATTTGAGTTATTTTTTCTCAGCCTGAAAATCACCAAACACATTGGAACAATGTAACATCTGTTCATTTGCACTTATTTGTCAATAAAGCATTCTGATGCAGATCTAAAAAAGAAGAGGAAGAAGACAGACAGATCCCCACTCCATTCCACAAGTTACCAAAATATGTCCTACTTTTGCTCTTTTATTTCGTAATCCTTTGGGTATCAAATAGTAGGGCAGGTGGGAACAAATGACACGAGGTGATGGGCGATTGGGTAAATCTACATGGTAAATATTATACTCCAGCCACGGTGCTCTGTCAATCAGAGTAATATTTTCAGTACCATCTCGATGACCTTCATAAAGAATCAAGCTCACAATGTTCTGAGTCCACACTGTGCCTGTAAATAAGAATTAATTAAATTAATTCATCCAGCCATTCAGCCATTATTATTATTTGGAGAATGTTCGACATACAAAAAACAAGAAAAAAGTCAAATGATCAGTCCACTAATGGGACAAGATGGCAAAGAAGTGATGGGAAGTAGAAAGAAAATAGAACTGCTTAACTCATACTTCAATCAGAGGTGGTATTCAGCTGGTTCTGATCAGTTCTGCAGAACCGGAGTGGAAATTTTGAGTAGTTTGGAGAACCAGTAGCGGAAATTTTGAGTAGTTCAGAGAGCTGGCCAATGCCCCCTCTGACTGGCCCCACCCCCATCTATTCTCTGCCTCCCATTGAGTCCCAGCTGATCAGCTGGGTCTTCTTTGGTTGCCTTGCACAGGAAAATGGAGCTGGAAAGCAGGTTAGTGGGGTGGGGAGGGAATGGGGATTTTACAGTAACCTTCCCCTGCCACACCCACCAAGCCACACCACACCCACCAAGCCATGCCATGCCCACCAAGCCACATCCACAGAACCGGTTGTAAAAAAAATTGAATCCCACCACTGCTTCACATCTATCTTCATACAAAAAAAGAAAAACACTACTCAACTTACCAAAAAAAGAACCCTAAATGACATGTTCAGAATGCAAATTAAAATATGCAAAAATAAAGTAAGAGAACATCTGCCAGTTCTAGATGGATTCAAATCACTAGGTCCTGACAGACTACACACCAGACTTTTGAAGGAACTGGCAAATGTAATTTCAGAGTCATTGAAACATATATTTCAATGTTCTTGGATCACCGGCGAAATACCTGAGGACTGGAAAAGAGCTGGTGTGGTCCCTGTCTTCCAAAAAGAAAAAAAGAAAAACAGATTCAGGAAATTACAGATCAATCAGCCTGACATCAATACTTGGGAAGATCTTGGAAAAGATAATCAAGCAACAAATCTGTGAACAACCTAGAAGCAAACAGGGTTTTAATCAGAAGCCAACATGGGTTCATTGAAAACAGATCATGCCAAACAAATCTTATTTCATTCTTCAACAAAGTGACCAAATTAGTAGATGCGCAAAATGCTATGAACATAGTACACTTAGACTTCAGTAAAGCATTTGATAAACTCGATCACACCCTACTTCTTGGCAAACTAGCAAAATGTGGGATAGATAGCATTACCACTAGGTGGGTTTGTAACTGGCTGACAAACTGTACTCAACATGTAGTGCTCAACATAACTACATCCACATGGAGGGAAGTAACCAGTGGGGTATCCCAAGGTCCCAGTACTCTTCAATAACTTCATAAATGATATAGATGAGGGAATTGAAGAGGAACTCATCAAATTTGCAGACAATATTAAGCTGACAGGAATAGTCAACACCCCAGAAGACAAGCTCAGGATCCAAAAAGATCTTGACAGATTTAAATACTGAGATTTATCTTACAAAATTAAATTCAACATAGATAAAAGTAGGGTATTTCACTTAGGCAAGAAAAACCAACTGTATAAGTACAGACTAGGTGAAATTTGGCTGAATCCCAGTAACTATGAGAGGGATCTTGGAGTCCTAGTGGATAATCACTTAAATATGAGTCAACAATGTGTGGCAGCAGCAAAATATCAATTCAATCCTAGGCTGCATTAATAGAAGGATAGAATCAAGATCAAGTTAAGCTCTAGTACTGCTTTACATAGCCTTAGTAAAACCACACTTGGAATACTGCATCCAGTTCTGGTCACCACAATATAAAAAAGATGTTGAGACTCTGCAAAGTGTGTCGAGAAGATCAACAAAAATTATTAGGGGGCTGTACACTAAAACATACAAAGAACAGCAACAGGAATTGTGTATGTCTAGTCTAATGAAAAGAAGGACTGCGGATGATATGATAGCACTGTTCCAATATTTGAGGGACTTCTACAAAAATGAGAGGGTCAAACCAGTGGTGGGATTCAATTTTTTTTACTACGGGTTCTGTGGGCATGGCTAGGTGGACGTTGCCAGGTGGTCATGTGACTGGGTGGGCATGGCTATGTGGTCATGTGATGGCGGAGGTCAAAAGTCTTTTTTTATTTCTCAGCACCCCTCCGTATCCCATTTTTGGCCTACTGGGCCTCAGAGAAGCCTCCTGGGTGCTGAAAAAAGAAGCATTTTGAAGCTTTCCGAGGTAAGTACAACAGCGAGGGTGGGGGAATCAGCTGTGCTGCGCGATTTAGATTGGTTAGAAAGCAAGAAATCTGTTGATTTCCTGCTTTCTAGCTAATCTAAATCCCCCAGCACAGCAGATCGTCACTCAGCTGATCGTTGGAAATACCAGTTCAGCTGAATTGGTAGCATTTTTTACTACTGGTTCAGGTGAACTGCGGCAAACCAGCAGCATTTCACCTCTGGGTCAAACCATTTTCCAAAACACGCAAAAGCAAGACAAGAAACAATGGACAGAAACTAATCAAGGAGAGAAGCAACCTAGAATTAAGGAAAAAGTTCCTAACAGTGAGAGCAATCAACCAATGGAATAGCTTGCCTTGAGAAATTGTGGTGCTCCATTACTGTAGGCTTTTAAGAAGTAACTAGAGACAGCCACTTCTCTGAAATGGTATAGGGCAGGGGTGGGATCCGACTGGTGTTACTACCGGTTCAGTGATTTACGATTTGCGTGCGTATGCGCGCTTCTCATGCACACGCGCCTGACACGCTCTGTGTGTGCGTGTATATTGTTAACAACTTTCTGCCTGGACAGCTGAGCGTGTATATTGTCATCAGCTTTCTGCCTGGACAGCTGAGCAGCGCTGTGCGCAGGTGCACAGTGGTTGAAAAAGCACTTTTTTCCTGATTTTTTTAACCGCAGCTGTGCCGCGCAAAGCAGCTGCGGTTGAAAAACCAGGAAATAAAGGTCAGGTAAGAGCCCCGGCAGACGGGTGGGCCAAAACAGCAGCAGACATATAACTGGTTCTATGTCTGCTTCTCTTCACAGCTACCGGTTCTACAGAGCCGGACAGAACCGGTAGAATCCCACTCCTGGTATAGGGTGTCCTGCTCAAGCAGGAAGTGGAAGTCCTTTGAGGTCCCTTCAACTCTATTATTCTATGTTCTAATTTAGTCAACCTTCCTATAGTAAACATTTCAGAGATGCATGAAGACAACTGCTTCTTCTAAAATATTTGATGATTGTATGAGAGAAAGTCAGCTTTGTAAAGTAAAATTAAAAATGGTCAAAATACAGATTTACAGCTTTATTTTACCTGCAGTTCATCTTCTAATAAAATGCCAAGTGTTAAATCTATTTACAGCATGATACAGTTGCTACAGGCAAAGTACTGAAAAACTGAATAAAAGCACTAGATACAAAACCAACTCTTCCTTGGAAGACATCTTTGAATTTACCTGATTTAGGATATGTGATTATAAATGTATCGTCATCATGGATTTCAAAACTTTCCAGTGAATCTATCTTTTCGGGTGAGGACAACACTGGTAAAAAATAACATCCTTTGTGTAGATATAGGTCCTTCTCTGATGGCTCCATTGTCTGACCTGTTGATCTAATAGAGAAATTGAAAATAATTGAGAATCAATTCAACATTGACTATATTAATAGTCAGTGTTAAGTGAATTCAATTCTTTCAAAATCATGATTCTTGGCAACATGAAGAAAAACAACATATATCATTAGATTTTTTTTAAAATTTGTCAATTGCTTACAAGATAATAGGTATAAGTAAAAACATAGTTATGAATACATGGATACATATAAGAAAAATAAAAAATATATAAAAGAAATAATAGGACAGGGACAGTAGGCACATTGGTGCGCTTATGCACGCCCCATACAGACCTCTTAGGAAAGGGGTTTTACCTAATTATTTAGTTAGTTTCATGAACTCAATTTTCACCCACGAAGGTTTCCATTGCAAAGAGTAAATCTGCTACTCTTCTTGCCATCTAACAGTTCTATGTAGAAGAGAAAGTTTGAATTACAGTACTAAGAACATATTAGTTGCAATTCTTTTCCTAGTTTACTTTGTCTTATATAATCTCTGACAGTCAGTCACGTCATGTCTAAAAGCCAACGTTATTTACAATACTTATTTAATGTATTCCTGTTCCTCAAATATTTAAAGAAGGCTGATCTTTAGTCAAACATTGTGTCAGCACTGTATCTGCATTAAAAAAAGAGGTAAAGAACATGGTAGATTCACGGTGCACCAGGATCTCGTGCGCATGCATGCCAGATATGCGTGGGAGGTTAGGGTTGCCTGATGGGTGCTGCGCACGCAATTTTCAGCACAGGAGCCCAAAAAGATTAGCCACCACTGTATTAGTTCAAAGAGATCAGAGTATCACATCAAGGCGACGTAAAGGCAATGTAATTATTTGAATCTTGATTCTTGATATTTAATGCCTGAGTATTTTATTATTGCATTTCTTTTTCCTGGAGGTAGACTCTATATTTCACTTTTATTTTATTTTATTTTATTTATTTTATTATTATTTTATTTTATATGGTTGTAAGGCCAATCAATAAAAATACTTTTACTACTTTTACTATTACACAACATACCCGACATAGCCAAAAACACTAAGATTGAAATACACTGAATCATGGACCTCCTCAATCTCTTTCCCAGTAGCTATTTTCAGTGATGTACAAATCAGTGGTGGGATTCAAAATGTTTTACTACCAGTTCTGTGGCCGTGGCTCGGTGGGCATGGCAAGGGAAGGATACTGTAAAATCTCCATTCTGCAAAATCCCATTGCCTCCCCACCCTACTAACCTGCTTTCTACGTTGAATAGCACTGATAATGTTATCTAGTTGGGTAATCAAACATCTGCAAGCAAACAGTCGAGTTCAGAGAGCACCAAGGACACCACAGTTCAACCCTGAGCTACAAATAATTCAAACTTCTTTTCTATTGGAAGTTTGAATCTCCCTTAAAATGAGGTTGTGTCTAAAAAACACCACATGGCACTACTTTAGTGGAAACAAAATTCAGGTCTTAATAATGTAAGGTAAAGTTTTAACATCTGTAATACTCCTTTCCCTTTTTAGGATTCCATTCTGTTTATATAATGTGCTTTTTTTAAAAAAAAAAAAGTTTGCTTTAACCATGCAGGCAAACAACTTCCAATTTCCACTGTTAGGACCTACCTTATCACAGTAAGGGTGACAAAACTCAACTATCTCTCCTGTCTTATCTCATCTGCCAATGGTTGCCCAGCAACTATGTTTCTAGTACAGGGGTGGGCAAACTACGGCCCGCGGGCCACATCCGGCCCGTTGGTCTGTCCAATCCGGCCCGCCCCTGAAAAAAAATCGCTGGGCGTGGCGTGGCCCCCAAAGCTGCAAAAAAGTGCGGAGCGCTCTCAGGGTAGGAAAGAAAAGAAGAACTTTGCAAAGGCCTCGGCTGGGAGTTCGAAATCACCTTCGAGTGCGACGTCTCCGAAGGTGAGTCCCTGCCGATCCCCCTTTTTTTTTCCGGGGCTTCCAGGCTTAAACTTTGCAAAGGCAAAGTTTGCAGGCGGGAGCGTCTTCTGGCCGAGGAGCGGGAAGGGTTCTGCCTGGCGGGCGGGCGGGCTGCTTGGAGTGGGCTGCTTGGAGCCACCTAAAGCTAGGCCGCTGCTGGTGGAGCCTTGCCCTGCCTTGGTGCCCCATTTCCCGGCTCGGCGGTCCTGCTCGGGCGGCACTTTAAAAGCCTGCTCCCAGCACCCGAGCAACTTCCCAGCAACTTGCAGCTTCCTTTTTCCTCGCGGGCGCTCACGCCTGGCCCCGAGCCGCGCGGCGGAGGGGAAACCTGGAGCACCGCCGGGTCGCCTCCTCCAAGCAGCCCGCCCACCGGGAGGAACCCTTCCCGCTCCTCGGCGGGAAGACGCTCCCGCCTGCAAACTTTGCCTGTGGAAAGTTTAAGCTTGGAAGCCCCGGAAACCCGAGCAACTTCCCAGCAACTTTCGGCTTCCTTTTAACTCGCGGGCGCTCGCGCCTGGCCCCGAGCCGCGTGGCGGAGGGGAAGCCCGGTGGGCGGGCGGGCTGCTTGGAGGAGGCGACCCGGCGGTGCTCCGGCAGCAGCAACAGGCAATTCCGCCTGGGCTCCGCTCAGGTGTCCGGCTGGGGCTGTCAGGAGTTGCTACCGCCGGCGCAGCTCCATGCGGCTCCAGTCCTGCGTTGCCTTGGGAAGGAAAAGGCAAAACCAGGAGCCGCTGAGCCTGAGCCTCCGGTGCCGCTGCTGCCGTTGCAAAGCACCGCCGCGGCTCTTCCTTTTTGCCTTTCCCTTCCCCAGGCAACGCGGGACTGGAGCCGCGCGGAGCCACGCCGGCGGTAGCAACTCCTGACTCAGGGGGCCTCCGAGGGGAGGGGAAGGAGGAGAAGGGGGGGGAAGGGGGGGCAATTCCCAAAAAATCTTGTGCTGACCCGGCCCGTCTGTCAAATTTTAAAAGTCAATGCGGCCCCCGAGCCAAAAAGTTTGCCCACCCCTGTTCTAGTAGCTTGGTCTCTCCTTGGGGGGAGTAATACCAATATGCAGCTAAATGACCACTGTGAGGAATTATGCTGCACATCTGGCAGATAAAATCGCTCATATTCATTCTACATTGAACTCCAACTTTAAAGAGAAATCTGTGATGGTGGTGGGAGTTGTGTCTTCCAAGATGATCTGAGAAGAGTGTGAGCCTGTGGAACCTGAGGAGGTGGACAGGACCCTGTCTGCTGCTACTTAGTCACTTGTCGGTTAATTCCATGTCCCTCCTGGCTGTGTGGAAAGGAATGCAGGATTGGGTGTGGGTGGTAATGAACTCCTCCATAAAAGAAGGAATGACCCCACTGGTTCTTAAAGAGGCAATGGTGAAACCCTCTTGAAGGACCGTCACTCAACTCAACCATACTAGAGGCTTCCAAACTTCCCTATTTAGTGAAGGTTGTAGACAGAGTGGTTGCATAGCAGCTTCAGAGGACTCTGTATGAAGCAGATTGCCTAGACCCAGTGGTGGTATGCTACCAGTTCAGACCCGTTTGGTAGAACCAAAGCCTCCAACAATCAGCTGAGAGGACAATCAGCTGAGAGGAGAAAGAACAGAAAAGCACAGGATCAGCCCTCCCACCTCCCCTTGCGTTTTTCTCTTCTTTAACCTCTCAGCTGGAAGTCTCAGTGTGGAAAGCTGTGTGTGCACGATCATCAAACCTGTAGTGGAACAGGTAGGATCCCACTGCTGCCTAGACCCCTTTCAGTTAGGGTTCAGGCCAGGGTTTGCTATTGAGACAGCACTAATCACATTCATGGATCACCTCTGGTGGGAATGAGATGGAGGTAGTGCATCCAACCTGGTTCTTCTTGACCTCTCAGTGATGTTATTTTTTATTTTATTTTATTTATTTATTTGTCAAGCGATTATAAGATAACAGGTATAAGTATAAACATAGTTATGAATACATGAAATGGATACATATAAGAAAAATAAAAAGAAACAATAGGACAGGGACGGTAGGCACGTTGGTGCGCTTATGCACGCCTCCTACAGACCTCTTAGGAAAGGCGTGAGGTCAATAGTAGACAGTCTAAGGTTAAAGTTTTTGGGGTTTGGGGAAGAAACCACAGAGTCAGGTAGAGTATTCCAGACATTGACCACTCTGTTGCTGAAGTCATATTTCCTGCAATCAAGTTTGGTGCGATTAACCTTGAGTTTGTATCTATTGTTTGCTCTTGTGTTGTTATGGTTGAAGCTGAAGTATTCATTAACAGGTAGGACATTGCAATATATAATTTTATGTACTATACTTAGATTGGACCGAAGGCGGCGTAGTTCTAGATTTTCCAGGTCTAAAATTTCAAGTCTGGTGGCATAAGGTATTCTGCAACGAATAGAGGAGTGGAGAACTCTTCTTGTGAAATATTTCTGAACTTTCTCAACTGTATAAATATCAGATACGTAATGTGGGTTCCAGACTGATGAGCTGTATTTAATGGCAGCTGAATTTCAAAGCTGATATCATGGATACATTCTGGATGCCTTATATTCAAGTATTGGTCTAGCAAATGTTTTGTATGCTCTAGTTAGTAGTGTGATATTACCACAGAAAAAGCTATGCAGGATTAGGTTAAGAACTCTTAATGCCTTTTTGGCTATGTAGTTATAGTGGGCTCTAGCACTTAGATCATTAGAGATGAGTATTCCAAGGTCCTTTACAGAGTTTGGATCATCAACAAGGTCTTGACTATTCAGCCTGTATTTTCTGATTTTTTTTGCATACATACATACATACACACACACACACACACACACACACACACACACACACAGATAGATAGATAGATAGATAGATAGATAGATAGATAGATATAGATATAGATATAGATATAGATATAGATATAGATATAGA